CACTGGCTGGGTGGGGACTGGGGAGGGTGGGCGTCAATGGTCATGTGGCTTATGGAGGTGGGGTTTTCTTTCTGATTTTTTAAATATCTTTTTATTATTATTTTCTTTTAAAATTATGAATTTGTCTCTTAAATTGACGCGAATTTAGATGGACATCCAAAAAATTGACAGTGCGTTCCGAATTGGCCATTTTATATAGTTTAAGTACTTAATTTATAGAAAACAAAACTTAATAGTTAAATTGACAATTATGGTATAATTCAGACGCACAGACAATTATAGTAGAGTTCAGACGCACAACCGCATTTTATATTTTAGCCTTATGGTAAACATTATATAAGTCTTTTTTCTTCCTTCGATAATGTAAAGTGATTAGATATTTTCCGTTGATACAGAAATCAGAAAAAGGTTGAGATATTTTCCGTCGATACAGAAAGCAGAAAAGAGTTGAGAAAAAGCGCAATTTATGATGATTCAAAACGCTTTTTAAGTCTTCAATCAATTAAAAAAGCAAAGAAAAATAAATAAAACAAAAGCAAAAACAAAAATGAAATCATAAAACGTGAGTGAAGATGTAATCAAGTCTCTTTGAAACTTTTCAATGTCTCAAAATCCTTTGAGAAGTAAACAAAGATCATTACAAAAAATTTACAAACCATCCTATATACCAAAGGAGGCTCTTCCTTGTAAACATAGACCCAAAAAAATAGAAAAAAAAAACTGAACAGAACAAAACTCTTTGGTGGGTACTTTTGATTTCTTCTCCTTTTCTATTTCCCAATTGGTCAATATTTCCGGATTTTTAGAACACCGATATTTCCGAAATCACCGATATTTAGGACGTTCGTGTACTTTCCTCAATCCCACCGAACCTTTACAAATCACAACCCCAGTGTTTGAACCCCTTGATCAAAATTCACCCCCCCATGATCTTGCCACGGGGAACTGTAGGAGATTATAAACAGCATATAAACTCTCAGATCAGGCTACAGAAACGGTGCCTGTCGTCCGTACACTTTTATCGGGGGTAGGGTTCTTGTTGGTATCAGATTTTCTGAGGGCTCCCCTACTGGAAGAAGAAGAAGAGGACACTTTCCAGCTCTTCTGTTTAGCCTCATCAAACTGTATTTGCTCTTGTCTACAATCTTTGCTACAAAATGGTGTGTTTCCTCTGCAAAATTCCCCCATAGTTTCCATCAGAACATGACCCTACAAAATGGTGTGTTTCCTCTGCAAAATTCCCCCATAGTTTCCATCAGAACATGACCACAATCACACAAAAAAGAAAAAAAAAAAAACCTGAAGCTAAAATTAACTAAAAAAAACCATAATTTCTTGGAATAAAAATTCAGGAATTGGGTCATGAAAATACCTGTACATGAAGATGTCTGAGTTATTTCCAAGTGGTTTTCTGCAAAGAAAACAAGCATCAAGGAAATGAGGCTCAATTTGCTGATCTTCATAAGTGGTGTAGGAGAACATGCCAGTCCTCATAGTGAAAAATAAAAATATATTAGAGGAGCTGAGGGCTTGAATGAGTGATTGCTCAAAAGAATGTGAAATTGGGGGGAGGAAATTGATGAGCAAGTGCTGGCCTATATAAAGACTTGTTGGGTGGACTTGATAGAATAAGGTACAAGTGGGTTTATTTGAACAAGTGGTCTACACCAATCACATTCCTTCCCACAGTCAACTTCTAGATTGTTATGCAAAACCTGTGGTTCCAATTGGTTGGAAGTGGAAGGGTATTTTGGTCCAAGAAATACTTGATTAAAGAAAAAACAATTTGGGTGGTTTTGAGATTCCATGGTGTTTCAATCTATTGGCTGCAGTGCATGCATCAGCATCTCTTTCTAAAGTTTTTTTTTTTTCTTCTTTCCTTTATTTTTTGCCACATTTTACTTTTTTGGCATTTGGTCCCTTTTGTGTTGGGTATTTTTAGTACATCCATGAATTTTAGTATTTATTTTAATTGCAGGTTCTTTTCCCCTAGACTATTTGTAATGGGAGAGGTTAATTAATCTAATGGTACCAATTTCTTTTCTGTTTGCAAAGATACCATTTACTATTTTACTTGGTATGAGAATCAAAGGACGGTTTCCTGTTTTTTTATGTGTTCCTCCTTTTAAGAGCAAAGTTTATGCACAAGAAAGATATGTTTAGTTTCAACGTTCAATGTATTTCTCTTCTTCGTTTCTAGACATGTTTTAGTATTAGCTATAAATGGTGCATGTGAGATGTAACCTTAAAATAGGATATGGTATCTAGCTCCTAGGCAAAATCTAGTGGTAGTGCTCTTGGGAACTTGATTGAGGTGTCTTTAGTGGATTCGTTTATCTTCATATTTTACTCTGTTTATTTTTCATCGAGTAAATAAATAGAAGATAAAACTTTCAAATCAAGATTATACAACAAACTTGTCAAATTCACTGACCAAATATGCAACCCATTTCTATCTCTTTAGGACCAACAAGTTGATTTTGGCTCTTCAAAATATTTAATTTTGCTTTGAAAGAACAAAACCTACATTGAAAATGCTAAAAACATATATTTTTTCTTGTCAAATAATAAATATATAGACTTTCTTCATATGTTTTTATATTTTATTTAATTTTTTTTTTCATAATATTGAATTAATTGAAATTATTAAATAGCAAACAAACTTTTTCAAATTGTCATATACGTCAGCAAAATTTAATTTAAAAAGTTCAATTTGAAACTACCATTGGAGATGTTTTAAGTTAGAATTACATATTCATGGATCATAAATAAGGACTCGTTGTTAAAATTAACCAAGAAATGGAAAATAGGGGAAAATTAGGGGCAGAAAAAGGATTTGCCAAATCTTTGGGACACATGTCAAAAGAAAAGCAATGATATATAACCCGATCTTCTCAAATTACCCTTGTATTCTTTTGGCAATTACAACAGCACCAACAACTGATTACTAGAGTGACACCACTCTGGAGGGCAAGCTTTGTAGATATGAGCAACGCATAAGGGCATTGAAGTCAACCTACAAGATCTTTCCAGAAATTGGACCACTAGCATTTTAAGCAAACACTAGGCCCCGTTGCTCAAAAGAAACCAATAAAAGAATTATGAATTTATGACCCAACCGTGGAGCTGACTCGGAGGCGGACCCACAATAACAAAACCATCGAAGCGTAGGACCCACCTGACTCAGGACCATACTGGCTCTACTTCCCAGGTCCTTGTCTCCCGGGCCCGCACCCACTACCCGTGGCCTGCGGGCAACTGCTACTTTTTCTGCCCGTTACACGTGCGGCCATGGAGGGAGGACCAGCGCAGCGCCATCGAATTATGACACGTGCGACGTGGCAAGTGGTATGCGAAAGGAGACATAATTGCTTGCTTGCTTGCTCTCTCCATGTTCTTGGAACGGCCACGATGAACGAGGTTGGAATCGACGGTAGAGACTGTCCCACGCTCCAAGGTATTCCAATTATTTGGTCGTTCCGTCTTGCTTCCTCTCTACGAGGACCATGCCATGTGGCTTATTGAATGAGTTGTCTAAACTAAATGATTTTCTGTTTTTTGTTTTTTTGCTCTTTTTTTTAATGAAAAAAATAGTTTGTCAATTCTGATTGTTTGGTATTGTTTTTGGGGAGAATCTCCGATAACTATTTAAGTAAGGATTGGTTATGTATTTCTAATCTCGAACGTTAAATTGCATTTATTGAATGTGTCGGTAGATTTAGTATGTAACATACCTGCAATCTAACTGTCAAGATTAAAAATATGCAACTAATACTTAACATAAAATACTTATTAGAGAATTCTAAATCAATCTTGTTTTTGATATGCTTAAAAGCTTTTTATGATAATTAAAAGTGCTTTTGAAATTGTTTGGTGAAAACAAATAGGACTTAAAAATGTTAATGTAATGTAGATTAGCTTTTTCTACAATGTGTTTGGCATTTTCCAGAGCTTTTCCTATCTTTATTTGGTGTTCTTGTGATTTATGATAGTGTGATTTCATTGTTCATTATAATTTGGGGTTATACAAATACAACATTGTTAATAATATAATATTCTCAATCAGTTTCATCGCACACTTTTCCATCTTGTGGGTCATCACATTGTAGAGAAGAATAATCAACTATCAAATTGTGGAATAGCTTTCAGTCCATTTCTGGTTTCCTTGTCTTCAATTGGTTGAAGCTAATGGTTGAAACTTGAAATCCAAGCGAATCAAACAAATAAATAAAAAAAGACCCAACTTGGAGATGCGATTATGAAACTCGTCCATCAACAAATTGAATATCAAACCACCACGCAATTCATTTCCAATTGAGATAATGAAGTCCCTTGTCGTGCTATGCTTGTGTGTTCTTTTTCTTGCTTTTTTGTTTGTTTATTTCTTAGAAAAAGATTTTTTTTTTTAGTGTTTAAACCCTTTACACATAATTGCCAACAAATCCATTGACAAATTTATTATTTTTACAACTTTTATATTATATTTCTTTATAAGTTAGATGCTTGAAGAAGATATAAAAGGATTAAAAAAGAATGATGGATTCAATGTCATTTTCCATTCAAGGCCAGGATCTGATTCTATGCCAACTTGTAGAATACAAACTTGAAATTGCCTATTGGTTTCTTTTTGTTATTTGAAATGAAACAAGGATGGTAATCTCTCGTTTCTTTTAAGTATTTGACCAACTCTGTCAACCAGATGACATCAAATTCCAGTATTATTTTTTCATCAATTCCACATTCAACACAGAACTACAAGAAAAAAGTGTTGACACAAATATTGGCTCCAAGAGACTGATCCAAGTGTCGAATTGCAGCACCTTAAAGATGTAACAGCGGGTACAAATGGACTAAATCAAGAACAGAGTGAAAAGACTAGTAAAACTAGCCTGTGAGGGCGGCATTGAGGGCACTATGCACATCAACTCCAATCTGAGCTTCAGCTTTCTCCAAGTCAGTTGAAGCTGAGCTCAGCTTCTGGGTGAACTCTGCAAGCCCCTTCTGGACAAGACTTGCATCGACACGATCAAGAGGGACAGCCTCTACAGCAATTATATCTGCATAAGAGTTCGCATGGATGAATGCAAAACCACTGCTGATGAAATACTTTGTCACATCAGTTCCTTCGTGTACTGATAGGACCCCAGGTTTCAACTCTGCAATTGTTGCTACATGTCCTGGAAGAACACCCATGTGCCCAGTGCTTGCTGGTATGATTACCATGTCAACCTGTTGAGACATGATTCATAAAAAGTAAGATACGGTAGTACAATATTCACAAGTGGAAACATTGTATCGAACAAAATGCAGAAAATTGTAATTCTCTAAACAATTTCGTGTGTGTATAGGCTGCATGTGTATATGTATTTGTAATTTTGTATTCATGCATGCAAGTACTGTATCACTAAACCATGATACTGGGATAGAGGGGCTTGCATCCTAGACTCCTTACCAGAATTCCCAACTATTTAACGAACAGAATGAAAACATTGGTTGTTGCCCACAGGTTTTCATAATTTCAATGACAGCCTTTACCCCCTTCAGCTATCAGTTGCGTCAGACAAGATATACATAATTTTCTTTTGGCATATTTCCTACATGAGCTTTTGAATAATTGGCATTTCAACAATCCCTTCACATACTACTATCTTAACTCCAAATGTCAGAAATGCAGTGAAGAGGATTGTAAAGAAGATATTCAGTGACTATCTTATGCCAACACTATATACGCAAAGTCTTCGATCCAACTGAGGATAAAACCAATAGCAGAATAATAGAAATACCCTAAAAGGAAGAGCATTTGATCTCAAAATGCATCGGCAATTTTTTTCTTTAATTTGAGGAGAAGGGAAAGTGAATTCATTTGGTTTTATTGCTAGAAAATCTATCTTTTGCTTGACATGGAACAGATAAGACTACATTATTTGGCAGAAAAACTATGAAATGCTGTATTTAGGTTTGCTTGAAAAGATTCACACAGCAATAAAAAATAAGGTATGACAAGATTCAAGGAGAAAAAATGGGCAAATATGGAATCTAATTTTCAGTTCTAGAAAATTGCCTTCACATAGCGTATGCCTAAGAGCACTGTATAACACAAATCATAAAGGTAAAAGTAAAAAGAACAAAATGTAGAGAACATATCAACCTGATATATGAGACTAACTACAAAATAAGAACCAAGTTACAGTTGATTAGTTACAGGGATCAGAGTATGGAAAATGTGCAGGCATCTAGATGCTTATATGAAAACTAGGGTAGAAAAAACTAACAATTCAACCGCCAACTGGACCTTGACCAGTTCTTTTGGGCATGCAACCATACACTAGCTCACCCTCCCATGTTACTCAAGTCTTAAGTTGAGAAAAAAAAAATCTGCTCCAGGATCCAGCTATGGGACCCATTTTTTAAAAAAATAGTCAGAAATCCCCCAATCCGCTTCGGGAGACAGGAAACACTAGCAAATAGCTAGATAGGTACCTTTGGGGGTTTCAGAACTCTGACCACATGGGAGCCAACAGTGGGACTGACCAATTCCACTAATCCCCAGCAGGTAGCTATTGGACCCGTTTATAGTTAAAAAGGGTTTGATAAAGGTAAAGGAAATGGAATTTAAGAATGCAGAGCAATTTTTTACGGAAATTGTTGAATTCTTAGTTTAGATAATAAGCAGCATCTGTTTCTCATCATGTTCACCAGTCAACAAGTAATGGAATGAATACTATGAACCAAGCAATTGATGCTCAGAACTGAATGAAAACCAACAAAGTTCCTAGAGTTTCCACAGATTGCGGGAAAGGAGAGGGGGAAACCCAAATCTTGTGTTTCCTGTTGTTAGCAGAATATGAAATGGTCAACTAAGACACAGTGGTGCTAAACCAGTTAAGGCACAAGTACATCAAACACTATAGATCTGAAATTCCATTTCATTTTCTGCCAACATCTCTCAATCACCAAGTAACCAAAAGGTATCAAAGGAAAAACATGGATAACCAAGACTGGAAAATGTAATAAAAGAAATACACAAGTGGTATGGAAGGAGCACTTAGACAGCAATTTCCCAGATATTTTCTATCCGAATTCAGAAACGTAAAAATGCAGAAAATCAATCCACTAAAATTTCATATGCTAACGAACATAATCACAACATTCATGATGGAAGTTTGACATTGACTTAGAATATAGAAAAAAGAATCACAGAGTTAACAACCCTTGTTTTGAAAAATGGACCTTCGATAAGAAACACAGAACACAGTCTCATACAAGAAAGTTACAAGGACATAAATGTGGCATCCTTAGTAAGTACGATTTCGTCAATTTGAAGATATGAACACCTAATACAAGTTTGCAATTCGTTGATTAGTACATTTACTAAAATGACATCTACAAGTTGTAAACTATATTAGAATCCAATTTTCTACATTTATCAGTTACCCATCTAATTCACATATAAATAAAAGCAAAGCCATATAAGTTCACAACAAAATCAAAGTTTACAAATTGATATCGATCTCTAATTAGCACCAAACCCATCTAAACTTAATCCGAACAAGAAAATACCCAAATGAGATCACATCAAACTAAGGATAACCAATTCAACCTCAAAACCAAGATTAGCACCAAACCCAGATAAACCCACACAAAAACAAACAAAACCCTTATCATAAATCTCTTAAATTCAACCTCAGAACGAAAAAATTGCACCAAAACCACAACAAATCTTTCACAAACTGACCTCTTTGGCTGCAAGCTCCGAGTTATAAGGCAGCACAAAGTTGACAGTGAGCTTAGTAGGGATCGAAGATGGAGTTGGAGGCCGAGGCTTCATGAAGGTCAATGGGGTGTGGGGTGGCTCTATGATTGGGATCACTTTCTTCCAAGCATCATAAAACGACGTGTCGGCTACTGGAGTTTCTGAGACATCCGTGGAGAAGGGTCGGGCCCGGAGGGAGATCACAGGTCGGGTCAAGAGGGCGGTGGCGCGGCGCAACATGGTCGCAGAGTGAGGGGTCGCTCGGGTCTCGCAGGGTCGGAGAGAGAGAGTGAGTGAGTGAGTTTAGAGAAGGGTTTGGCTGGTATTTCGGAAATGGCTTCGCCGTTTTCGGATTGTGGAAATGGAGACTGGGTACGGGTTAATAGTCTAGTTTTGTTGAGGCCTTTGTGGGCCGAGTCACTGGGCTTTTGCATTTGCATGTAAGTCTGGGGAAAGTACCCATTTTGGGCCCATTGAGCTCATTTTGGTCAAGAGAAATTTCTCCATAAATTTAAACATGATAGGATAGGGTGGCCAACTGGGTCTAACCCAGTGACATCTTTAGTAGTGCATTTGTGAAAAATCGTAGTTTAGACTAACGTTTGTATTAAAAATATATATATATATGATAGAGTGACAAGAGAATGATTGTGTTAGTATAAAAATGATTGAATTAAATACTATTGTTAGAAGGGAAGAAAAAAAAAAACAGAAGCAACTGACATATTTGTATGATTGTAAGATAACGCAAATGATGTATTTTAAAGCTCTGGGTTATCCCAAGTGGTGAGAATGGGTGGGGACATTAGTTAGTATTAAGGTTAGGCTATGGTTCAATTCCTTCTATTGTAACCTAAAAAAATGTAGTTTTAGATTTAAGATGGGAGTACAAAGAGACTTCAAAGAAGACGATGTTTTTACTTTTTTACTTGTAATGTATGTTTAATTTGTTTATTTGCCAAAGAAAAAAGAGTTGATATTGTCATTATGATTATTCAGAAGGGTTACTTTCTTTTGATGAACAAGAAAGGGGAGATTTGAACTTCTCAATTGCATGGGGTCCCTATAAATTATTCTTTAACGATCCAAACCGTCTATGTTTTAAAGTCTTCATTCAAAGATTATCCTTGCAAAAAAAAAAATAGGACAAATTGGAAATCATGAAGACACTAATTTTTCTTTTTATTTATTTATTTATTTTATACAAAATAAAAGAGTCACTACAATGAAAAGCCTCTATTGTAAATAAAGTGTCTACAAAAGACGGAGGAAGATCATGAAACCATCTAGTTGCGATTAACAAAATCGATAAGAATAACTCTTTTGTTCCTTCCTACAGAACTCTATTTTTGGGAGTTTTACTAAAGCACTCTATTTTTGGGATCCCTACTAAATCACTCTTGTCGGAATTACTCTCACCGAGAAGAACTACGATATGTGGAGTCAACTCATGGAGATGCATATCGCAGCAAGAGAAAAATGGGGTCTATTTGTGGCAAAGAGAAGGCACCAGTCGAGATAGATCCCAAGTACAACAAGTGGTATGTTGCAAACCAGAAAGTCAAGAGTTGGTTGTTGACTTCTATGACACTAGAAATTATGAAGCGTTACATCTGCCTGAAGACGGTGAAGGAGATTTGGGATGCTCTTTCAACAACATTATTTGATGGAACTGATGAAGTTCAAGTGTTCACTTTGAACCAAAAAGCATTTGCTACCAAACAGAATGGAAAATCCCTAACGAATTATTTTGGGGAACTGATTGCCATTTTTCAGGAATTGGATCACCGTGATACAATAGTTATGTCTTTTGATCGTGATATCAAGGCACATGCTAAGTCGATTGAAAGACTAAGAGTTTATATCTTGCTAGCTGGATTTGATGTTGAGTTTGATCAAGTTAGAGGAGAAATTTTGCGGAAGGACCCTATACTTGGGTTTCGAGAATTCTATGCTTATGTTCGCTGTGAAGCTGACAGAAGGGAAGCCATGAAAAATGAGGTTGCCCAGTCCGAAGTCGTCGCCATGGTAGGGCGCCGTCCTTCTCAAACCCGGACCGGCCACGACCACCGAACCTGTTAAGATCGGGTTCCTCAGGTCGATGGTGGAGGGGTTGATCGTTCTTCCGCAATGTTAACCGCTCCTCTCGCCCACTACTGATTGAAAATGCCCTCATTGTGGTCAAACCAAGCATTCTAAGAATCGATGTTATGAAATTATTGGCTATCCTGAATGGTGGGACAAGACCCGTGATCCTAGGTATAACAAGTCACGTGCATCTGTTACTGAAACGAAGGATGATTCTAAATATGTAGCTGAACAATGGTAAGGCTTTAAAGGTTTTTGCATCTATTTTGAATAATACATGGATAATTGATTCTGGCGCTAAGAGATCGTATGCCTTTTAATTCTAGACATGTACAAACCTTAAAGTCATCCCCACAACCCTTGGTATCTACTGCAGATGGTAATTATACCCTTGTTATTGGGGAAGGCACCATATCCTTTATTGCTAACCTTTCTTTAGACACCGTACTTGTTGTTCCTTCCTTGGACTATAACCTTTTATCCGTTGCTAAACTTACTATGGCCTTAAATTGTATTGTGATTTTATGGCCTTTTTTTGTGTGTTCAAGGACATTCGGACTCGTAGGACGATTGGTTATGGTGTTAGGCAAGGGAAGCAATACTACTTGGACTTGACGTCAGAAAACTCCAGCCGATTGACTCAAGCTTTATCTGTGGAAGGTTCTTAGGGGAGAAGAATAAAGAATTTGAAATATGGTTATGGCATCGTCGTCTTGGACATGCTTCTTTTAGTTATTTACAAAAGATATTTCCTAAGTTATTTTCGAAGTTTGATGTTTCTAGATTTTGTTGTGACATTTGTGAACTGGAGAAAAGCCATTGTACTTCCTTTTCACCAAGTATGAAGAAAAGTTCCTTTCCATTTATGTTGATTCATTCCGATGTTTGGGGTATGCTCTATGAAATCAAAAAGTTAAGTGAACTTGTTGTTTCAGAAATTTCATAAAATGGTTGTTGTGTTCAGTTTAAGACTCAGATACAGGTGCTCTGCAGTGATAATGGCGGTGAATATCTGAACTCTGAATTGTACAAATACTTGGATCACCATGACATCATTCAGCAGACTACATGTTCGTATACCCCACAACATAATGGAGTTGTAGAAAGAAAAAATCGGCACCTCCTTGAGGTTGTTTGTGCATCTCTACTTGAAGCTCATTTGCCAATATCCTATTGGGGAAAAACTCTTTCCTTTGCAGCATATTTGATCAACTATGTTCCGTCCCGAGCCATGACGACTCTCACTGCTTGCCCTCCTATTCTAAGTCTTCCACATTGCGTGTTTGGGTGTGTTGTTTTTGTCCACATTCATAAGCATCAACGCAGTAAGCTTGATCTCCGCCTTGAAGTGTGTTTTGTGGGTTATGCATCATATCAGAAAGGGTATCATTGTTATCATCCACCTACTTAGAAAATGTATGTCACCTTGGATGTTGTGTCTCATGAGAATGATATGTTCATCTCATCGGAGTCTTCATTTCAGGGGGAGCACCAGAAGGAAGTGTAGACTCTTGATTAGAGCTTCGTGAATATAGAAGCAGTGAATGAATTAGATTTAAGTGGTAGTAACTTGGAAATAACTGGTGATTCTCATTCACATGAACATGTACGTGAATGACTTGGATTTAAGTGGTGAAATGCATTCACAAGAAAATGAAGACGAGATGGGCAGTCCTCCTATGTCATTGACTACCGTAGAGCCACCGTCCTTCTTTCCGCCGCCTCTGTCTGCTTTTGATACCCATAACCATTCATCCTCAGTCACTAATGCTAGCAACAACGAACCACCTAGAAGTCGCCTCCTGAACTGTATTAATAGAGGTATCCTGAAATTCACTTATGAGGGCGACCCAAGGTGCAGTGTCAAATATCCTATGAATAATTATGTGTTTACCGTAGAGCCACCGTCCTTCTTTCTGCCGCCTCTGTCTGCTTCTGATACTCATAACCATTCATCCTCAGTCACTGATGCTAGCAACAACGAACCACCTAGAAGTCGCCTCCTGAACTGTATTAATAGAGGTATCCTGAAATTCACTTATGAGGGCGACCTAAGGTGTAGTGTCAAATATCCTATGAATAATTATGTGTTTACTCATCGGTTGTCTGAATCAAATAAGTCATTTGCATATCTACTGTATCTATTCCTAAAAGTGTGCAGGAAGCTTTAGTTGACCCTCGTTGGCAAACAACGATGAACGAAGAGATAAAGTCCTTGAATAAGAATGCTACTTGGGAGATAGTTGATTTGCCAGTTGGCAAGAAGCCTGTGGGATGTAGATGGGTTTATACAGTAAAGTACAAGGTCGGTGGTGCTATTGATCGGTTCAAGGCAAGGTTGGTAGCAAAAGGGTACACTCATACATATGGAACTGATTACAAGAAGACTTTCGCTCCAGTAACTAAGATCAACAAGGTTCGAGTATTGTTGTCCTTAGCTGCAAATTTGGAATGGCCCTTACAGCAATTTGATGTGAAGAATGCATTCTTGCATGGAGACCTGATAGAAAAAGTGTATATGGATCTTCCACTTGGGTGTGATGTTCCAAAAAAATACTGTCGAAAAGCGTGCAGATTGAAGAAGTCCCTGTATGGTTTGAAATAGTCTCCACGAGCATGGTTTGGTAGGTTTGCGAAATCTACAAGGGAGTTTGGTTACAAGCAGAGTAATTTGGATCACACTTTGTTCCTTAAGTAGAATTAGGGTAAGCTTGTAGCTTTAATTGTGTATGTTGATGATATGGTATCTGTTGATGAGATGGTGGTGACAGGAAATGATCCAGAAGAATGAAAAACGTTACAGGACTATTTGTCCAGGGAATTTGAGATGAAAGACCTTGGTTCTCTAAAATACGTTTTGGGAATCGAAGTATCACGATCTAAATCAGGAATTTTCCTGTTACAAAGAAAATACAGGATAGATTTGTTGCATGAAATTGGCATGTATGTTTGTCAACAAATTGCTACACCAATGGAAGAAGAACTCAAACTTGAGATTGATCCAACCCAGATATCGGTTGATAAAGGTCGATATCAAAGGCTTGTTGGGAGATTGATGTATCTGGCTCACAAGAGGCCTGATCTTGCCTATGCCTTCAGTGTGGTCAGCCAGTACATGCATGATCTTGGTGAGCAACATATGAAGAAATTTATGAGGATATTGCGATATTTGGAGGGGAGTCCAAGAAAAAGAATTTTGTTTACAAAGAATGGCCCATCTCAGAGTTGAAGGTTATACAGATGCAAATTGGGCATGATCAGTTGATGATAGACGCTCGACGTCAGATTACTTTACTTTTGTGGGAGGTAATCTTGTTACATGGAGGAGTATGAAGCATAATGTGGTTACTCGGTCAAGTGCAAAAGCTAAATATAAAGGTATGGCACTGGAAGTTTGTGAGATCCTATGGCTTATACTGTTATTACAAGATTTGGGTTTTGCACCTAGTCAACCAATGAAGTTATTTTGTGATAATCAAGCTGCCCGTGATATTGCTCATAATTCGGCGCAACACGATAGGACGAAACATGTTGAGGTTGATAGGTTCTTTATTAAGGAGAAGTTGGAGGATAAAATTGTTTAAGTGCCCGCAATCAGGACGGAAGACCAATTGGCTGATATACTTATGAAGGCTGTATTGAGTCATGTTTTTTCGAAGTTCTTAGACAAGTTGAGCATGAGTGATATCTATGCACCAACTTGAAGGGGAGTGTTGACTTTTGTATTATATTTTAGGTAACTCCTTCTAATATTATATTTCCTAGTATAGACTTGTAATTACTCCATTTGATAGTGGGATTAGGATTGTAACACTATGTGTATATATATCCCTCTTTGTGAGATGAATAATACATAACAATATTAAACCAAATAGTATTCTTCTTTTTCCCACACTTGCAGTCGTCTCACTATGAAAAAGTCGCTTTTCGATAGTGTAGTGTCGTGCATGATATGAGTGCCCTTGTGCTGTCGGAGCCACTAATATTTGGTAAACCCTAACCCTAGTGCGCAGGGCCGGCCCTGACTTTTGGGTGGCCCTAGGCCATAAACTAAATGAGGCCCCTTTCTTAGTATACAACTGCAAAAAAAATAACAAATAAAACGATTTTACTTCGTGCGTTATGAGCAAATAAAAAAGGTAGTATGCATTATAGTAGGACATATCTCTATAAAAAAAATTCGGATTAGATATTTAATATCATGAAGGAAATTACAATTTACAAACCGATGTTCCAGCAACCAATAGCCCAAGGAAAGAGTTTGTTGTTTGCTTCTATAATGGGACTCTATGTGTTTTGTTCCTATTGGAAATTGAAAAATAGTTTGCTAGATAGGAACAAATATAAAGAAAAATTCATAAATCTGATTACCTTTAGAAATTCTCAAGCTCCTCTCCTCTTGGTCACCATCAATCTCAAAGTCAAAGATCAAAAAAGAAAAATTGTGAGTTTTTCAGTGAGAAATCGATTCTTAGGGTTACAATATGAGAAAAGAGGGATTAGAGAAACTAGAAATAATGGATGGATTGAAGAGAGATTGGGAAAACATAGAATAATATGGTGGTGGATTAAATAGAGAGTATGTTCTTCCATGGAGAAACTAGAGGTAGGCACTACGTGGGAAAAGAAGGAGGAATCGTGTTGGGGTTTCTTCTCGGAAAAGGAAGCGTGTTTCCTCATTTAATTTTATCGTGTGTTTTTTTTAATAAGTTGGGCCCCAAAAATTTATTCCAAATTCGTGAAACGTCCCCCAAATTTTTTATATATTTTATATTTGATGCTGGTTTACATATGTAATATAAACAATTTTGGGGCCCCCTTAATTGGAGGCCCATGGCCATGGCCCTTCCCTCCCACCCCTAAGGCCGGCCCTGCTAGCGCGCTAGACTTGTTGTACACGACACTCTCCTAACGAGAGACCTTGTTCATGAAAAAGAGTTTAGTTGTTGAGTTAGCCCCATTTTAATCTGCTACTGCTTTACAAACCAGCTTGCCAAAAAAATAAAAGAGAAAAAAAGGGGTTTTTGACAACAAGACAAGCAAAGGATACATATATGATATATGATATATCCACTAGCTAGACATTCGAGATGGGCTCATAATTACAAGAATTAAAGCCCTATATTTGCCCTTCTTAGAAAGCACACAGAATACAAAAAAGAGTGTTGGTGCTTTTCAACTTGTTATGACGAACATGTGTAGAAACAGAAACAAGATGAGGGGCCAGTTACTTGCACATACGTACATTCCATGGAGTGCAATGCAAGCTCCACATCTTTGCAATAGGTGTCAAAATTATCGTGACATACAAGGGAGTTAGCAATAACCAAAAAAGGATTCCTCATATCCTTCCGTACAGTTTCCATCGTAAGCTTGCGCAAGTGTAGCTTTGCAATATGCTACACACATTCGATTTCGGCAATTAAGATCACATGTCTTTGGGTAGTCTTTCTTTGTGAACACCATTTGAGTACATGTTTGGCCCACCCCTACCGTGAAACAAATGAGTTAAATAGAGCAAGGGTTTTTGACTGAAATGGTCTCCCAACACTGTTACGTAAAATGCATGCGCAATGCATTTGCACAAATGTATGATAATTTATACCGACAACAAAGGAGTCTTAATTAGTAATGCCTTTCCTTTTCTTTAAATCAAACAAGAGAACCTGATTAGAAGAACTTATAGCATAAACAAGTCTACAGTAACACTTTGGAAACAAATTAAAATTAGTAAAACCACCATCCTCTCCTTAATTCATCAACGTAGGAATAGAATTACCAAGGATGATGAAAAAGAAGATGGTAAGGAAGTAATAAACAGTTTTAGGAGCACTCTTAGTCATTTTTTCCTTTTCTCTTTGTAAAATAAGAAACCTAAGAAGAGCTACTTAGAGCACAAGCTGCTTCATACCGGCCGTCCACATATCTATTGATTGATTCGACATTATTTTGATATAAGTATTTTTTTTTCTCTTGGTAAAATAAGATACCTAAGTAGAGCCTTAAACTGTTGGCTGTTGAGTAGGTCATAAAGCCAAAACTAGCTAAAATAACATAAATATGGCGTTAGAACTTCTCAAAAGACATCTTAAAATTAGCTAGTTTACTCATCTCTCATTGGTTGCCTTGCTTTTATATTTTGGGGGCCAATCTTATACTTATGTTACAAATTCTACCAAAACTTAAGCAATACTGAGGGTACCCAAAAATAAATTACCCTTTTTTTTTCTTCTAAGCCACATCTATTAATGTGGAACTCGTGATATTCTAGGACTCAGTGTACCTATTTCAACCAACCTATTTTTTGTTCGTGGTATTTCTTTTCACAATATTAGTATGGTTTAACTTCAAATTCTCCTTAGGCCATCTCCAGTTATTGAGCTAAATGTAGTCCAGGGCTATAAATTTAGCCCTCCAAAATATTAACTTTTTAAAGAAGAGTGTAAAGCTAAATTTTTCCATCTCCGCTCATGCAATCCACTACTATGTATTGTTTAATTTAATTAAACTACTATTTAAATATATTTTATTATTGTATTGTTTATTATTTCGAGTGACACGAATTTAAATACATTTAAAAGGTTAAAAGAAAAAAGGGTTAATTACTATAGACGTCCTTGAATTATGGCCCCAGTTGCAATTGGGTCTGTGAACTAATTTTTGAGGCAATTACATCCTTTAATTAGACAATCAGTTGCAATTGGGTCCTACCGTCCAACTCTGTTAATTTATCCGTCAAAATGAGGGGTAAAAGCGTCCTTTCGGGTTCTTCATCCATCATTGACCCCAACTCCACCTTCCTCATCCATCATCAACCCTAACAACCCCACCTCCATCTTCACAAGTTTAGAAAAACGAAACACCTAACACCCACATGCAGGTTATTCGAAAATATCTAATCACAAACACCAACAAAACCCAGTTCACAAATTCATCAGTTCAACAAACAACAAACAAAAGGAGAATTTTTCAAAAGCTTTCGAGATATGAACATCTAAAAAGAATTAGAGCAAAATCGGAGAAATAAAATCACAACAGGATCATTGAAGTTTCTGCCAAACCCTTATTGAATGGACTTGGATTGGAAGCTTGATGCCTCAATTTTCCACTTTGGGAGCCTTCCTTTATTCCACTGTTTAAATTAAAACCTGCAATTGCAATTGGAAATTAATAACCCAAAACTAAAATGGTTTGATGATAATTGCAAATGTAAATGATAGCAAGAGACAATGAAGCTTTTCACTTACATGATCGGTCTATGCTTAATAGTGAATTGGAGGTGGGGGAGATGCATAAATGTAAACCGGTGGTGGTGGTGACTTCACAAGAGGTGGAGGGGACTCGTAGATGTATGGCCATCATGAGCTCGGTGGTGAAGCTGGAGTTGCAGCACCTGGCGTAGATAGCGAAGCAGGTGCAGAAGCTGACGACGTTGGATTTGGCCACGGCGTTCATTCTGGAGCCTAGGCGCCGCCGCTGTTACGGCGGCAGCGGAGGAGGAGAGCTTGAGCGGATGGGGTTGCAGGTGGGTTCTGGGTTCTGCGGGTTGGAAGATGGGGGGTGGGTTGCAGGTTGGGTTTGGATTTGGGTTTTGAGGGGGTGGACTAAGGAGGAGGGGGAATGGGTTGCAGGAGAGAGGGAGAGACAGAGAGGAAGAGCTGAGGAGAGAGGAATTTGGATTTGGATTTTTTATTTTTAAGTTTATTTATTTATTTTTATTATTATTATTATTTTTCAGTTTTTTTAGTTTTTGTTTTCAGTTTTACAAACTGTATATTATTTATTATTATTATTTATTTAACCCGAAAAGACGCTTTTACCCCTCATTTTAACAGATAAATTGACATAATTGGACGGTAGGACCCAATTGCAACTAATTGTCTAATTAAAGGATGTAATTGCCTCAAAAATTAGGTCACGGACCCAATTGCAATTGGGGCCATAGTTCACGGGACGTCTACAGTAATTAACCCTTGGCTAGCTGACATCAGTGCGCCTTTCATATAAGCCTTTGGATCTACAATTACATGAGATGTTTTGTGCTCACCCCCACGCGTGATACTTTCTCTTACTGGAAAACACATGCACTGGGCCCACACACAAATTTGGCATGGGCTATAACTAGTCTACAAGTGGCCTGGTTGGAGGGCTAAAGGGCTAAATATGGCCCTCCAAATTTGGCCCTTTTTTTTTTAGAGCTCATGGCTAGAGATAAGTTTTGCATTATTTTAGGGCTACATTTGGCCTATGGCCCATGGCTCGAGATGGCCTTATCAAGTGATTACAAAAAGTACCAATTCTAGGTGAAATCTATCGTTCATTAGACCCTTGACAATCAAACATTCGGTTAAATAAAGGGTGCTGCTTTTAATCTTTTAATACTTTTTACTATAACATACAAGGGAGTATAAGTAGACAAAAGAGGAGAGGACCATACAATTTCCAATGAAGAGAGTGTAAGTGGACAAAATATGAGTGGGAAAATCAACTTCCTAAATAAACCACGTTGCATTTTCTGGTCATGAGTGAATGACATGTGTCTTTGTAGAAGCAATGAAGCAATTTGAGCAAGTCGTCGTATAGGATCAAGTGCCCAATATCTCAAGGTCATGCTCTATCGTGTGAAAATGTCAATAGAAACTAATACTATAAAAAATAGGATATGAAGTTAAAACCCATCTAAAATTCACTTCACAATTCTATAAATAAGATTTAGTCAAAACCTGAACAATCATGAATCAAGAATCCATTTTAATTGCCAAATGAAAGAGTACATGGTTCCTAGTGCACAGTATGTGGAGCTCAGCATAAGGGGTATAAAAGGAAGCTTATCACCAAGAATGATGGGATGCAGAAACTGACCCGAAATTTCAACAAGCAAAATACCAACCAGATAACTCCAGCCAACCCACCCAATAACAAACCCTTCTTTATCTTTTTTCTTTTCAGATTTTGCCAGTTCAAGTGATATACGCTTAGCGAATTGCGCAGAGAAACCTAACCACATAAGCATGGAATGCAGCAACAGCAACAGCACCTTTATTGGATACTCCTGGGCTTCAAATAGAAGTGGGAACAGCGAGTAGCAGGACACTGCATAGCAAACATAGCATAGAAGGATAGAGTACATTAATGTACAAATAGGAAGCTCAGAAACCCCCTATCAAGATTAAAAAAATAACCCACATATCAAGATTTATGTTTGAATGCTCTTAAAGTAACCCCACTAGTTTCTATGCGAAGAAATGAAAGCATACCAGTTGATAATAAGAAGTAATGCCTAGCATCATCCAAACTCTGTACTGCGACAATAGCAAGGGGGATGACAAAGTGGAGTGCTGCTTTCTCATGAACATGCCACCCAAAAAGAAACCCACAAGTGTAAGCATAGGCTACCCATCTCGTAATCCTCACCGGCCGTGGATGCCTCCAAGCCTTGATGAGACAGGGAGATAATGCAAGCAGAACCAGGATAAAAGTTGTGACAGGGGTGATCTACCATTTCATAAATTCAAGTACAAAAACTCAGATCCCGCAAACATTAAGAAGATGAAAAAAATAATAATAATAAATAAAAAAAAGTTTATTTATTAAGTAAAACAACCTAGTCCTGTGTAAAATAAACGGAATACACCACCTCATCAATCAGCAGGACTCAACATAGTACAGAGGGAAAAGAGCTTTCTTCGTTCTGCTCAGTCAGATGTTTAAGCTTAGGGAAAAATAATGGCATATGGACTCAGTGTGATTGCTGGACCACCACAAAATAGTGCGAAAGAATTAAACTGGGCAATGGAAAGTTTTTAATTATTGAATTACTTTGGTAGTTCTTCGACACAAGGTTTAGAGAAGAAGGCTGTAACCAGCACAGCCTAAAATTACCACCTAGTTATAATTATGTGAAGTTGAACCAAGGCTGACGTGTGAACAATCAACAAGCAATACCATCCAATTTAGGAGCTTTTTTTTCTTCGTAATTTGTTTTGACAGATTAAGGAATTAGGCTATTTAGAAAGTTATTGTTATCCTATTATATTCCACCTCCTTCCAGTTTACCATTGAGAATTACCTGAGGTAGTACAGCAAAAGGGGACAAATCCCCAACTATCCCACCAGTGAATGAAGCTGCTGGTGCCTGAATGTTGAATCCAAGTCTTCCCAGCAAGAAAGCAAGAACTTTATCTAGTATGATATAGAACACCCAAAAATTTGGTGCCCAATATGCATGACAAAGTCCCCTTCCAAAAGGAAACATGCGGTGGATGACTTGTTGCATCTGCAAGGTAATTTTGAATAATTAATACACTATGCATGAATAAACCATGATGGCTTCATCGGTTGATCAGTAAGAAGAAATTTAAATGACTCGTTGAAGATGCATTCAAATTGTTACAAGCGCCATGAGCATAGAAAGACCAGGAACCAACATTAGTGCATAACCAAGCATCTTGACAAAGCTTATTCCCTCACTTCATTTTGTTAAACATGAGTTACTGTAAAGTGGGTGGAATATCATTGTTGCCACAGCTAATCTTTTCATCAACATTTTCATGGAAGGAGTGTCAATTTTCAGCCCTCTCCCTAACTACGTTTAATTCATAGCGTGCATTAAAGGGTAACAGAAGAAATAGGGGAAATTTGAAAGGCATTCCGTCCTATAGAATCAAAATCATCAATAAGCAATGTCAAGAGAAGGATATACACGGTTAATAGACTAATGTTGCAAACTGTATTAGTTTCAAATGGTGTAGTATTTGAGAAGACCGTCACTGCTATAGAAAGACAAAAGTTACAATAAAGGGAGATCTACAACTAATAACATTACTGATCACAATTATTCCACTACATCAGTATAAAAAATAAGCTAAAGCAAAGCAGCACTTCAGTCATAAAAAAGTAGCTAGAAAAGAACTACCCAAGGGATGCCCAAAACTGAACCCTATAGGTATAGCACAAGTATTCCACCTCCTCACCCCTTTCTCCCTAAAAACACCTCCCATTCTTCTCCATTCACACAACCCAAATTAAACTGTAAATCCTTATGATCTAAAATGTACAATGTTAACTTTTGCTAGTGAACAATATTCAGTCGCAAGCTCTGAAAGAATATATGACAGAATTGCAATTGATATGCTATATTTTGCTAGATTCAAAAAAATAAAATGCAGAACCGATCACAACAGAAGTCTTTGCCCCAACATAAATTTCATGCTCCTAAAGGTCTAACTAAATCACTCAAACCAACTTTTAGGGAGAAACAGATAGAAAGCTAGTGTAGCCTTATTTGATTGTTACTTTGGTGTGAGCATTGATTCCATAATGAAGGTTTCAGTTTACCAACCTAATCAATGAAACTAACTTCTAGGACACACAGAGATGGCTAATGATGTCCTGGACCATTATATCATGGTTGATTATTTAATGTGACCCATGGGCACAAGTATTCAATTTCTAATATTCTATCTTGCCAAACCCCACATAGCTGCTTCAGTTAAACAATTTTTTCGGGCTGCTCTACTTCAAACATTTGATCTGTCTGCATTTCTGACAGCAGAAAGAATTCATTTTGCTCTTTAAGAAATAATGTGAAAAACTTTTAACATTAATCCTATTCACTGCCTGTCAGTATTCTTTCAATGAAATCTCTGTTTTTTTTTTTCTTGAGGACCTTTCCTATCGGATGCTAGGACTCGAACCCAGGACATTGCCGAGGGGAGCAATTGTTCCAAACCACTACACTAGTGGGTCCTTTGCATGAAATCTCTGTTTTTACTTGTGTTAATTGGACAACAGATGAAACTTAGTGGCTTTCCGATCCTAATACAAAAATATTGATTAATCAACATGACAGGAGGAAGCCAGATGGTCTCAACACAAAACAGAATACATAGAATTGGCACACCTAAGAATTCGCTCACTATTTCTTTCCTTAGTATAACATATATTCAGCTCTCATAAAAATCCCATTTGCAGAGGAAAAATCCCCAGTCATTCATTGCTTTGGTGTTCACACATGCAAACGTTAATATGCTCTGAGATTTCTTCATAAAAACAGATAAGAGTAATACGAAGATGATGGCCAATAACCATCTAAAAGACAAATTTTCAAAGCCAGAGAGATTACCTGCCCATGATAGACAAAGGGTCCATAAGCCACTGCAAAAACAGCCACAACAATAGCTCCCAAAATGAAAAGCCGCCAGAAACCTCTCACAAATCCTTTCCAGCAATAATGCCTCAACAAGTAGACAAAATAAACTGGTGCCGCCACAGCAAACAAATGCTTGAAGCACAACAACACAGCAAAAACTAGTCCACCCATCAAGTCCCTCCCTTCCTCCAAATAAGAAAGCGAAATCAACAAAATCCCAAGTAAGAATCCATTGTACTGAAAATGCAAATGGTCCACAATCACAAGCATTGGAGACCAAACCACCAGTACCCAGATCAGTTTTTGCCTCGTTGAATCCAACTTCCTAGTCAATCTATAAACCCCATACAAAAGACACAAATCCGAGAAGAGAACAGAGATTCTTTGGAAATAAAGCACTGTGTTTGAGCTGTAATTCAAGCCCTTTTGGAGGTGAACAATTTGTGGGTCAATGAGATTGGCAAAAATAGATAGGAAGCGCTCAAAGTAGGCAAAGAATGGAGGGTAGTCAAGGGTCCAAGGGCTGGTCTCGTCAAAGTACCATTGAGAGAGAGGCAGAGAGTGGGTTGTAGCAAGCCAGTGGCGATGGACCTCAAAGTCTGTGCTTTTGTAGGCTGGGATCAGAAGCAGCTTTACGCAGGCGGCTGCGGCGAAAAACCACCATAGCTCTGTCATGGGCTTGCTGGGTTTTGGAGGTTTTTTCAGTTGCGGGGTGGTTTGTGCTTCCATGGATTTGAAACTTCAGAGAACAACCAGGAATTCGATTCAGCCAAAACTGAATTCAAGAGAAATGAAGGAGAAAGAAAAGAAAAAAAACCTGAGATTTCAATGCATTTTGAATTTCATTGCTATGAACTCTAACGAGGAACCATTTTGTCTCCGCATTGGGTTCGATCTCGATTGAGAGACCCAAAACCCCGACAAAAGCTTTTGAAGACGGCTGCTTGGCTAGGCTTTGGGCTAGGTGACCAACGGCTGGGAGCTGTGGTTAGGCCTAACCGGCTAACCTGCTGTAGAATATTATATGAATATCAGAGGAAGGTGGTTAGGCCTGTGTGCGTAAATAACACCTTCTCTTCCATGGAGATTCCAGTGCATTGTCACATTCGGGCCGTTTGGTTCACGGAACGGATTTGTTATTTCCCAAGGAATAAGAAATGGTGATTCTTTTTTCATGTTTGGTAATGCGGGGAAAGTGACCCGGAAATATCACTTTATTTTCTTTCCAAGTAAGAATGAAAAACATTTATTTAGTTTCCCAATTGTATCCCTATTAAAAATATGAAAAAAATATGTTAATTTTATTAAACTTTCCAATTTAGTTATTAAATATTGCACCAATGTCCTATTGATAGTCCGAATATGCAAAATTTCAGTTTATGGCCTTTGGTGTTGGATTAGTTCTTCCTTTTCCCCAGTCAGTTTTGTGCTTAAAAAAAAAAGCGTTGGACTTCTTCTGCTGATCAATACAATTTGCTAGAGTTGGGTGTTCAATTTTGTTGGAATTGGGGGTATTCTTATCAAAAAGCAGCCCATATGCAGCTACAACAGTTCATCTACATATGAATTTTTTTTATAAAAAATATTATACTTTTAAAAAGAGTAATCAACATACTTAAAAAAAGAAAAATAGAATTGACTTCAACATCATCAACATTCTAAAAACATGGCTTTATATGAATTAAACATAAAACAGTTAATCTGCAACTCTCAAACTGCATAGATAGCTTGCAGAACATTGGATCACAATCACATGATTCAGAAAACAAAACCAACTGAAGCATCATCAACATTCTAAAAACAAGACTTTATATTTATTATCATCATATTAATCTATATATATAAAGCAAAAGGTAGAGAATGGTGAAACATTCAAAATACCAGAAAATGCTCTTGGTTAATGCAAACATTAAGAATTGAAATTATTAATTAAATGAGGATAATATGGTAATTCACACCTTTTTATATTTAAAAAAATTAAAATTAAAAGAAAAATCGGATAATGAATACTATTTTTATGGAAAACAACTACCCATTATCTTTTTTAATTCTAAAATAAATTTAAAATTAATAAATAAATATATAAAAAAACCTCTCGCACCCTTGGGTAATTACTTGTGCGTTAGTATGGACACTCATTTAATTGCTCCAGCTTTTGTTACTTAAAGCGTTTAATCGACAACCAATTTCATCTTAGCTGCAAAGAAAGCTCAAACCATGTCCTTTCAAATTGCACAATCAATGCTCAATGATTGCTTGACCTTTCTTCCTTCCCAAGTTTTAATAACTAAATTGGATTTCAAAAAACTTTCTATAATTTAATTTTTTTATATTTAATTAAACCCAAAATTCCTATTAAAAAGTAGAAAAGGAAAAGGAAAAGGAATCAATAATCTAGAATATTAGATATAGAATTACAAGAACATGAAGAAGAAGAGGAACGACATGAACAAGAACATGAACTCAAACTCGAACATGAACATGAATGCAAAAAGAAACGTTGAAGGTGGTTCACATCCATGTTTGGGACCCCAATGCCATTGATGAGTCTTTTAGCGACGAATAAAATTACCTAGAATAGGAGGAGTTGATAATGATCTCAATACTTGTTTTTTGATTTTTATGAAAAATTCTAGTACAATGCTTTTATTTATAAGTTAGCCTCTCGACTTGCTCTCACGTGTTTGTTGATAGTTTCTTATTTTTATTGTATTTTATCCTTACTAGCCTCCCTGCACACGCGGAAGCGCGTGCGAGAGGCTTTTTTTAATCACGCGTGCTACGCGCGACTTCCAAAGTTTCGTAATTTTTTTTCCATAATTGTATTTATATAGATGTCCGTTTCAACAGTTTCATATTTTAATATGATCCATTATTTGATTTTCTTTTAATTTTAATTTTTTTAAATATGAAAAAGTGTGAATTTACCATATTATGCTCATTTAATTAATAATTTCAATTCTTAATGTTTGCATTAACCAAGGGCATTTTCTGGTATTTTGAATGTTTCACAATTCTCTGCCTTTTGCTTTATATATATAGATGCATGCACATTCTTTCTCCTTAATAGCTCCAACATGCACCTATATAAAATCATGATATTAGAATAGAATGTAACAATTATTGCTAAATTGATAAGAGTTTGGTTGCCACTTCAAAGAGAGATAACCAAATAGAGAATTCAAATGAATTAGCCTATATTTCAATGAAGTGCAAATGGATTCGTAAAATGCAATGGAACATTCTAATTGGTGCAAAAATCAATAAAACAAAGTACTAACAAATATAGATTAGGGATAGAAATTGTAATAATTATGTGTTTATCAGTTGGTCTTTTATTTTGGCATGCACAATGAAATGGTGTGAACCAATACTACTACTATAAATATCACAGCATGTTGTATTCTATTTCTCCTGTTTGTAATTTGCAGCTTCACCTTCTTGTGAAACATGCGCTTGTGTTTCCTATAGTCTTTCGGTTTCTGATGTATTAATGCTATTTGAGGTTTAAGTTTTAACCTTCTGTTTGGGCCTTATTCTGCGCACAAGACCCTGCCGGTATTTGGGCTCTCATCAAATTGAAAATTAGGCTTTGTTTACCACAAATGGTGAGTGACCCATACTGTTCAGAATTTGGGTTCTTATTAATTCAACTCAAAAGCACAAGGCAGAAATCAGGTATTTGTAGCTTGGTCATCATTCTGTGTTTGTGTGGTAGAAGATTGATTCTGCACCAGCCTCAATCATTACCCCGATTGGTACTCCTCAGGAAAACGGGTAAACACCTTCTTAAAACGGGAAAAAGGCATAGTTTTGGAGAAGTAACTAAGTATGCTATTGGATTCAAAACATGTATTAGAAATTCTTTTTTTTAGTAAATTAAGTATGTTCATTTCAATTACACAGTGGCTCAGGAAATTGAGTTAGGATGAGATAGGGAATGGTATGCGTGAGCATCAATCCAGCTAAACTGATGAGACCGGTGGGTTCAAACAATAATTATCGGCCCTGAGTAGTTTACTCAGTCAACGTAAAATTGAGTAGTTCATGTTTGTACTTTAATATGGATGATACCTTATAATTTTTTTTAAAAAGACTAATAAACTAATTAACAAAAAGAGTCGGTAGGATGCAGAAATCACAAGGTGCAATAAAACAAAAGAGTAGATGATTCATATGAGTCATCAGATTGGGACTTTAATTATAGAAGTTAATTTGGGAATCTGCCAAGGGTTGGAGGGACTTTGTCGTACATAAAGCGGAAGAAAGCAGATTTAATTTCATCAATCCAAAGAAAGAGAAGAGAAGGCAAAACAAGAAAGAAAAAGAAAAAGAGTTGGTTTAATTGTTTTCTTTTGGAGAAAATCATGGCTGAGGCTGTTGTTACAATTGTTGCAGAAGGCATTTGGTTCACACTTGCTCAACTTCCTATATATCAAAGGAAATAATGTTTCCTTTAAAAAATGGAAAAATAAAAATGTAAAATCCTATGGTTGGAAACCACCTCTTTCCAATTTTTTTAAAATTAACTTTGATGGGGTGTTTGGATTGGTCCAGGCCTTTTGTGTGCTCCCAAAGTAAAGAAACCCTAAACCCTAAAGTAATTTAGCATGTCATTATGTTACTGGTTGAGGATAGCAAAACAATGATATCCTCGTTACAAGTAAGTTTTTTGCCTCCTGAGAGAAAGTCTCATGCAACGGGCACCGTCAGATTCGACCAGACCATCATCAACTAGGACATTTTTTTAAATTTATTATTAATATTGTACTTTGTAAAATGACAAACTTACCCTTTTAATTGATGGAAAATTGGATGGAAGTGTAGAAACTTGACGGTAGGTGTTAAATTGGCAAAAAAATTTATTATAAGGGCTAAATTGGCTGAAAAAATAATTCATGGTGGACATTTCGACAAGTGTTATAGTTCAGGGGGGTTTTCGGCACTTTACCCTTTTTTTTAAAATTAAAAAACTTTATTGATTTTTTGATAGTTGAGTGTTGAGAGAGAGAGAGAGAGGTGGAGAGAGTTTTTTTTTTCAATTTGTTTTTAAAAAATATTTATCATGTGAGAGAGGAGAGAGAGAAAGGGGACCCACCTTTGCACTTAACAGAAAACCAAACGGTCGAACTGACGGAATGTGTAAATTGGTCTAATTTTAAAACGTTAGGGTGTAAATTGACAAAATTGAAACTCCGTTGCCCATTTCAAGAATGACCCCAAACCTTTGGAGGGGTGAAATGATGTTAGCCCTAGTTGTAATATCCGAAGAATTCAAAAAAGAAAAAGGGTATACTAGTAATTTGCCCCCTAAACTTGTACCATATTTTCAATTAACCCCCTATCCCTTTTTTTTAGAAAATTAAGGATATGAACTTTTTTTTTCACCAATTTCCCCCTTGCCGTCCAAATCCACAACATTTCATCCAATTTGCCGTTAAATATGAGGGTAAAATAGTAATTTTGTACGTTAAAATAACCCTAAAATTGGATGAAATGTTGATGATTTAGACGGCATGGGGGAAATTGGCGAAAAAAAAAAGTTCATATCCTTAATTTTCTAAAAAAAAAGGATATGGAGCTAATTGAAAGAAAGGTACAAGTTCAAGGGGTATTTCACTAGTAAACCCAAAAGAAAAATAACAAGAAGAAACCCAAAATAAGTTTGCTTCCACGACTTCAACCTTGCTGGGCTACAATATTGAGCTTCAAATCCACATTGAAAAGGACCAGGAGGCTCGGATATGTCGGCCCTCAACAATACCTCAGGCCCATCGGCTACTTGAATTCACTGCAAGCACGGCATGCCCTGCTGAAAATTCTTCGAAGGCCTTGCTGACACATCATCGCATGCTTTGGTTATTACTTTAACCAAAGGTCAAAAGTATGCTACCACTTTTTGACTAAAAGAAAAGCATTCTACCATAGGCATGGCTATTTTTATATTACTCAATTTACTTAAGTTTACAATGTAAATAAGGAAGTACCCTCCATTTGGATTCAAATAAAAATACTAAAAAATCAAATTCCCACCAAATCAAAATATGAAAAATCAGTTTTAGTACAAAATAAGATTTATGCTAAAAATGATGGCTCATTAAGTCAATATATACTTCATACTA